TTTTTAGGTGTCGTCAATACGTCAGTTTTGTACGTTTAAATGCTGAAAATACGTCAGTATTGTACGTTTTAGTGCCTGTAAAAACTTAAGTAAATGTACGTTTTATAGAACCACATTTTACGTAAAATACATACGAATTATCATGAGATCACGTTGGTTTTTCTGAGCATTACATTTGGAAGTTGTTGTTTATCATTCATATATTTCTGTTGAAAGCAATATATAAATGATAGAATACATTGCATACAGAGCTATTTTTCTTCATGGGAGGTGGGGATACATCACATGAGCCACACATTTATTGTGCATTAGGAACACACCTGCTATGGGAGAGGTGGCTGACTAGATGAATTGTGGCACAGTGTGGCACACAGCACGGCACTAGGATATTAATAGGCCCCTCACACTCATCTTGAAGCCAGTGTACAGTCATGTTACACCACCATGAATAACCCACAATGAGAGCTTATAGGCACAACTACCCGTCTCACGCTCGGTGCTATTAAAACTCATGGGGCTTTGAGGTAGTACACATGAAACATGGACATTACTCAGACATGGTCAACCTCTCCACCCCTGCACTGTGCATCAACTCTGGGTAGGGTCACAGAGAAAGATAAAAGACAACATCCATTAAGGGGCAGTCGCCCATCACCCTCTCTTTCAACAGAGATGGCTCAGACAGTATAGGATTAGATCTCTGCCACAATTCTGCGCACGAAAGATCATATTTTGAGCGCACAAAAGATTTTTTTTACGCGCGTGATCTGAGTTTTGTGGAGAAAATGTTCGTTTCGCAAAGAAAAAAGTATTTAGAGCGCACTAAAATCAATTTTGCATTTAAAATAAGTTTTTGGATGTGTGCAGACCTTTTCTTTTGCGTGTGCAACGTTTCACTAGCTTGCTCCCTTGATGCCCTCAGTGCTCTCTAAACAGCTCGTGTGCTCAACACAACCCAGCGTTACAATGTGCCATAATTCCAGCCAATCAGAGACCAGGCTGCTAAATTCTGATTGGCTGC